AAAGTCCAGCTAATAACATGAGTGTTTTCAAGCACCACTACATCATAAGGGAGATGTATATATATAGTGGGATACCACTGGCAGTGAATCCTGAAAACAAAACAAATCATTGGCCTGATTGAGCAAGGAAACTTCTACAAAACATTGGAGCCATACTTCAAAAATAATGGTGCCCTACCACTGACCTCTTGAGCAGGGCCAAAAACTAAGTCATTTGAAAGAAATAAATTAAATGTCTCATCTGCTTATGTTCTCCAATGATCAATGGCTTTCTGATAAAATGTCTGATGCAGAACCCACATCTTCAAACACTTGAAAGATTTCAAGAGTTGACACTCCCAAAGGTAGTTTGGTTTGTTAAGAAATTAACAATTAACATCTTAATTCAACACTGTATAACACACAGATGGAAAAAAAAATGACTAACAACAGTACTTGATTTTTAACAATGATTCCACTAAATCATGTACAGACATATATTATGAATCAATTATGTCAGAAAAATCAATGGCTTGAATTTCCACTTATTTCTCAGAAGGTTTCCAGTATAGCAAAATTCAGCAACAGATGATCAACACATTTGAAACAGACAACCATTTTCAAATTAGTTACTGGATCATCTTGACTACCTCATTCATCTCTGCGGTTTCTATTCTGGTAAAGATTATTTTTGGGTGATGTTTTACTGAGAATGACGAAAACATCAAGGAACAGCTTCTCCATCTAGGTTAATGATGACAAGCCAACTAACTGATGGCACTTCATGTGTGGAAACAAAAAGCTGTCTGCTTGGTAGTCTCATTTTTCTAAGACAAATTCAAATTTCTTATATTATCTCTCCTCTCACACTAATAATTGGGCACCCTAAACAGCCTAGACTTCGGCATCCTAGCTTGTCTTAAACCTAAAGAAAATATACCATTTTTGCAAAAACTTTAAAATAATTTTTAAAGACAAGCTAAAAAGAATAGTCTTGTCCATTGGCAAGTTCTAGAAAGAAAAAAATCAACCCAATTCCACTAAATTGAAGCAAATGCATTTGGTCTACATTATACTTGGAAAAAATTCAAAAGCAGAGTAATCAACTTTTATACAACATAGATTTTCAAATAAAAGTATAGGAACCCTTCCTTTCAAATCAGGCTGAAATAATACTGGGCTAATCAGGAAGACTCTGATCTGCATATGAAAATATATCCCAACCCGATTTAAAAAAAAAAAAAAAAGCCTAGTTGTTTTAACAACTCTCAAGTCTTTACAATCCATTGGCAATGACTTTTATCCTTAAAGAAAAAAAAAAAAAGTGCCTTTGTGCAAGATTTCAAATCTTCAATTCTTTCAGCGATCACTAAAAGAAAAAACAAGACTAGAATAATGTCAAATCTCACTCTAAAAATAAGACCCACTTTTCAGTCTGGCATCTGAAAAAATTATGCCCACATATGTCCACACCAAATACAATGACAAGTCGGCAGACTTCAAGGGCAAACAAAACACAGACTTTATCTGTGAACACCACAAAAACATGCTTGCTCTTTTATTTCACATCTGACTAATGCAGTGATGAAGTCTGGGTAAGATAAAGTTGGAAGTGAAGAAGGATTTCATTAGGCTTATTTTATTATTATTTTTTTTTTTCTTCTGTAACACTTACTTTTTGGCTCAAGACCCTAAACACAATTTCACAGTACAGGTCATGCATAGCTTGCAAGTCAAACGTTTTACAGCTACTGTCTAAGTACTATTTTTGGACAATAGATTCACATGCAGCTAATGATCCCAAAAAAGGGGCTTAAGAAAGTACTCTTTAAGCTTCACTGATCATCTTTTGGCCCAAACTATCTAGGTAATAACCCCAAAGGGCAAAAAAATGAATTTTTAGTTTGTCATACTTGAGATCACATTCTTTAAGCCCAGAAAGTAAAATTCTTTTTCCACTGTATCTTACTAAACTACAAACTCTCTTCTTTGCCTAATTTTGTTATGGTGTAGTGCCTAACGCATTTGACTAACCAGAAGTCTTGCAGTTCAAACCCACCAGCCACTCCTCAGAATGAAAATTGGGCATTCTACTTCCGTAGTGATATGGCCTTGGAAACCCAAGGAGGGGTTGCTGAGTCAGATCTGACTCAATGGCGTGAGTTTTTAGTTTTACTAATAAATTAACTTAATGCTACATCCCAGTGCACAACCATATGGAACTTGGGAGTCCAATATGGCAGCCATATGTAGATATTTTAAAAACTTAAAAATTGAAAAATGCAGTTCCTTAGTTGTGCTCACTCCATTTCAACTGCTCAATAGTCAATAGCTATTGGACAGCACAGATTATCCAACATTCCCATCATCACAGGAAGTTCTACTGTACACCACTGATCTGGAGTTAACCTTCCAGGGCTCCACTCTTTTAAGTCATGCACAAGATTAAATTTAATTCTATTTTAAAGAAAATACCTTATAGCTTTCTGATCATTAAGTATGACTGGAACTGAGAACTAATTTGCCTTTTCACCATAATTTATGCCCCAGGTCATTATACAAAAAATTTCCAAAAACAATGCTTTTTGATAGAGTACATGGCTCTACCTGACATATTAAGCATTCTCTCGCTAATGTCAAGATCATTAATAAAGATGAGAATTCATGCTTCTTGTAGTTTACTATTTACACAACACTCATTGCCCTTTACATTTTAGGGGAGAAAAAAATGAACAATTTGCAACTTTAAAACTCCAAACCATCTTTTGACAGTTTTTTCTACATGTCTATACCCATCCCTAAATCAGTCCTCCTTTTGTGTCTTACAGGTAGATAGATGCTACCTAAAACGAAGGTATAAATCTACCCCCAAAAAACAAAATTAAACACCTTAAAGCAAGTTAGTAAAGGACAGGCATTGATCCAGAAAAGGACTGTGGCGATGTGGAGGAAAGTGAGACAGGAAGGGGAAGTCCGCAAGGCCCATCTGCTGCAGAATAACAAGCTGCTGTGCACCTCGTCATTTACAAAACGGAGCCGCCAAAGGTGGCTTTCAGCTCTAATTTTCTGTGCTTTTGGTCCTTTCAGTTGTGGTTTTTATTTGATGTGCAACAGTGAATTCTGGCCAATTATGTTATTGGACTATTGTCACAAGGGGTAGATGGGCTTTTGGTGTCATGGGTAAATGCCAGAAGAGGCCAGAGTAAGGGATGCCAAATCACATCATTCAGCCCACAAAAAGTCTACCTGGCAGGTTGATCCCTAACCCTAACCCTACACACACACACACACACACACACAGAGGAAAGCTTATCCTAACAAGCAGGTGCTCAAGTAACTTTAGGCAGAATCCATTTAAATGACGTGCTGAACATCAATAACACTCACACAAAAATTTCCAATTTTGGTTGTTATTAAGTTGTAAGGTCAAGAATCTATCAAAGAGCTGAGTAACTTTGCACTGTTTGATTACAAATCAAGCATGGGATTGTTTTTAAGTAAAAGTCACATAGCCATTTTACTCTAGGGGCTCACATGAGGAGACACACAAGTGTCTATATATAACCTACTTTACAAGTATAATTCTACCGCACACTACACTACAGTTCAAACATTTCACACTGTACATAAATGTATGTAAATATCACTCAGAAAATTATTTGAATATGCCATGGCTTAACATTACAAGGGTAAAGTCCATTTGAAATATAGCATTCTTGAAGCAACATTTCTGTGGGGTTTTGTTTGCTTTTCCCCAAGAGGAATAGAAATTAACTCAGACAGGCATTACAGCAGCCTGGGAGAGTTTGAGAAACCAATACAGAGCCAACAGTGTATTACATTACATGAGAGAGGATATTATTCAGCTAATATGATACCTAAATTATTAATATCATTTACACCCTAGATTATTTGTTGAAGAATGCCCAATAGCTTATACAATAAAATGGCATTTCAACCTAATTTCTAGTTTGAGCTTTCAAATAAATTTCCTAAAAGTCTTAATGACAAATTTGAAAGATTTGAAAAATTGTATTTTCATATTGAATCCTCATGTCAATTAACTAGTGTTAGCTTTGTATTCTATTCTTTATATTTTTGTTTTATCTCACATGAATCCCATTACTTTAAGGTGCCTATTTTGTGCTGCTTGAAGATAATACTGAGCATTAAAGTCAATGAAATTGTGTCTCAATTTTAAAGGGTGATTTTCTAGCCCTGCTTTTTGGAACCAGCCACTGCATATCCGCCTGCTCATTTCCAAGAACTCAATGAAACTTAAAGACAGATATATTTCTGGGTGGTGGCCTAGTCACATACCACTTGCTTCATGGTTTCCATAAAAGAAATTAGGAAAGAACTGTAAAGTTCATAGCTAATTCTGAATGCACACATGCCCGGTGACAGGAATTCATCATTTTCCATTAACGGATCTTTCTTCAAGAACATCTATGGACTGTTAGGTTTAAGAACATTTGAGAACTTTATGATGAACTCATCCATCTGAAATGGGAATCTCAGTTCTTAGTTCACTTTACTACTTTTCTCAATAAAAACATATTTTGAAATTCAAGATTTTCTCACGTAAGCCAATGAGAAACGGGAATTCTGCTAAGTGGTTTAACCTCCATGAAGCATCTTTCCAAAAATAATCAAGGTCTGTCTATTAATATGCAGGCCCAGGTGTGCCATCAAGTAACAGTACTCATGGTTACTACAATACCCCAAAACTGGGAGGGAAGATAGACTGTTTTGTTACTTGCCATTTTGCCCTTTTTCAATATAGGACTTAAATACACAGAAGAAGAAGTGTTGAAGGAGATGTGTGCTTGGCACCTCAACAGGAGGGTCCAGGTGCCCTGATGCGGCTACCATTTCAGACACTTTACTCATGCCCACGACATTTTACTCCCAGGATTCTTTCAGAAGACTTAAAAACCTGAGGTAAATCAAATTACACACACGCACACACATACACGCACAAATATACAATATTTACATTTTCAATTCGTAGTACACTTTCAATTCTTAGTTTTGTGAGATGGCTTGAGAAAAATTGGCAAACAGGTTTCCTGTGGGATTAGGCATTTCTCATTATTACACAGCTTATTGCTCCCCTGTTGGGCCTTTCATTTAAAACACGAAGCGAACTCTAATTACAAGTGAAGAGAAATGAAGGTACATGACAAAACACAACACACTGGAAACACATGTTCAAATATGTTCTCCATTAAAAACAACTGTCCACTGAACTTACTTTAATTTGGTGCACTTCAAAATGTATAAAAAAGCCTTAGCCACTGGAGAAAACAGGGTTTTGTAGAAAGAAAAGAGGAAAGCAGCCAGCTTGGCATATCTTCACTGAATTTTTATACAGGTTCTCAGGTTTAATTCTACTTGTATACAAAGCATCTTTGTTTTAATCTACTGAATTTAGAGAAAATCCCATCGCAGGTGCTTGTACAGCTTGACAACTAAGTAGAATATGTCTATCTTGTAACATGATTTCGAAAAATCATAAATTACAGTCCATTTAATAAATGATTATGAGGATGCATGCAATCATCTTCAAAGCTGCTGCCATCAACACTCACAACACTCTGCCTGGAATCTTGTTAAGACCTTCCATTCCACCCTTCATGGCTGTCTCTGGGTTAATCAATGGCAACCCAGAGGCCAGTGCTCGGCACCCAATGGTCAGTGTTGCCCCCTCTTCTCACTGGGATCCCATCATCAACACCTGCTCACCCCCTAAGTTGGCACCCACAAGAGACTTGCCTCTGCAGCCCCCTTCAGCCACAGGATATCACAGTGAAGCGCTTAGAAATGCAGGACATGTTGTGAAGCACAATGCCAAGAAGGAAGACCAAGACACAGGCCACCAAGATCACAGTGCACACCCCGGACCAGGTGGAGCTTTTCACCACGCCCCGCCTGTCTTGCTCCTCCTCTGTGGCCTCCAGGGGCGCCCCCCCTTGCAGAGGCTGTTGCTCGGTGGGGATGGTCACCACAGCCACCGACTTCTGCTGATTCCCAGGCAGCAGCCGGCAGCCCATGTCTCCGGGCAGCAGTGTGCGCTCCTTGGAGATGGGCAGGGGCAGCATGTAGCACCCATTGCTGGGGAGTTTGATGAAGACCGGGGTGTGTTCTGAGGTGTGCGGGATGGCGATGACAGCGAGGACCTCGGGGTCGTCGGGGAGCTGTGACACGGAGAAGCCCGGGGGTAGCTTGGTGATGCCACGGCACCAGGGGCAGCGCACATCCTTCTGGCTTGTCCTCATCTGCTGGAGGCACACCGAGCAGCAGGTGTGCTTGCAGTCCAGCAGCTTGGGCCTGCGCCGCGGGCTATAGTAGTTGAAGCAGATCTGGCATTCCAGCAGAGAATCCTGCGACAGTGTCTCCATCATGGACCAGAAGCGGGAAGGCCAAGTCCAGGACTGGGGGCAGGGGCTTCTCCTCAGTGCCTTCCACGCCCACACCTTCCTTCTTCACACTGTTCCAGGGCCGGGAGGGGGTCCAGAAGCTCACAGTCCTCTATCATACACGAGCATACTCATTTCTGAAGAAGACAAAAAATGCATACAGGGTTAATCAGTTTGAACGAGCTGAGGTCTCAACACAGCCAATGGATTTGTGCCACTTCCTTCTTGAGACAAGAGTATCTGCTCTGAGTCTTCCATGACAATATGGCCCTGTGATGTCCTGAATTCAGACTATTATTTCCCAGAACTGTTGGGCAGTAAATTTCTGTTCTTATATAAGCCACTTTGTGGTACTTTGTTATGGTAGACCAAGAAACGGATATACCAATATTGAAAGAGAGACTACCAGTTATTTATTTACATTCCTACATATATAAAAGGAGCTCTGGTGGCCTAGTGCCTAAGGCATATGACTACTAGCCAGAAGGCTGGTGGTTCAAACCCACCAGCCACTCCTCGGAAGAAAGATTGGGCAATCTACTTCCGTAGACATACTGCCTCAGAAACCCAAGGAGGGGTCATGATGAGTTGGATCCGACTCGATGGCAGAGAGTTTGTTTTTTATTTGTTTGTTTGTTTGTTTTGTTTTATTTAGCCACTTCTTGGAAGGAAGATTAGGCAACCTACTTCCGTAGAGATACCACCTCAGAAACCCAAGGAGGGGTCGCTATGAGTTGGAACCAACTTGATGGCAGTGAGTTTGAGTGAGTTTACATAAATAAAAATCCACCCCCCACGTGTCAGCCTGTCATACTGTAGGGGTTTGCATGTTGTTATAATGCTGGAAATTATGCCACCTGTAGCTACACCAGCAGGGTCACCCATGGTGGACAGGTTTCAGTGGAGCTTCTAGACTAAGACAGACTAGAAAGAAAGGTATGGTGATCTATTTCCAAGTATCAGCTAGTGAACACCTTACAGATCATAACAGTGGCCAATACAGTCCTGAAAGAGGAATCTCTCCATTGAAAGCACAATACGGTAGCTCCAACAGTGGACTCTAACATATCAGTGAACATGACCTTGGTGCAGGACCAGTCAACATTTCAATCTGTTATACATAAGGTCACCAAGAATCAGAGTCAACTCAACAGCAACTAACAACATCAACATAAAAATTGGAAAGCAGTCTTAGAGTAGAAATAGGGGCTTTAACTGTGGAGAACCGTGGGTCCCAGTCTGAATCTGTCACTAATCAGCTATGTCAGCTGAGCAAGTCATTTCAGTTCTCTGAGCCTACCCTACCTCCCTGCCAAATGCAGTAATGGAGTTGGTGGTGAAGGTCAATGGGTTCAAAGTGCTTCCCTACTGCCAGATAGGGAAGGACCAGATAGCACTGGTGCCAATTTTCTCCTTCCTCCTGACTCAAAGTAGTGCCCCGTGTGGCCTGCCCAGTGCCATTTCTGGTTAACCAAGAAGGGACACCATGTTGAACAGTTCAGGAGGATGATAGGAGAGCATGTGTTCTATCTTGGCCCTGCCCCAAGACCTGCCACGCCACTATTTTTCAACAAAATCAACATGCAATTTTATTCTTATGTTCCAAGCAATGTCCACTTAATTTGTGCTAAGCTCCCTTGAAATCAGATTATATTAATCAATTTCCAACTGTCCAAAGAAGTTCTAGGCCTTACCACACCCAGCTGAACATGAAAGCTGAATGGGAAAACACTTTCTATTTTTGGTTCTTCATCTGACAGCAGCCTCTGATTTACACACTGATTTGTACTGCATTCCAGTTTGTTTTCTGGAGCATAATTAGGAATGATGATGATTAGTCAGGTAAAGAGAAGAAATTTATGAGGCTGTGGACCACAGCGAACAGTAAATCATTCTTTGACCCTTTCATAATGAACTCAAGATGTGTGAGTCAACTCTAAGAAGAAACAGAAAGGCAGCAAGGGCCATGCTGGCTAGGAAAGAAACTCCAAATTCCTTGTCAAGTGTATTCAGCTCAATTTGATGATTGCTTTAGCAACCTATGTTTGGTGTCTCTTCCCTTACAGGAACAAGATGTGATGCTCAAATAAAGTACTCATTAAAATTTAATAGGAAAGAGTACTCTGGTAGAATACAAAAGAACAAGTATATACTGAAATATAGTGGAACAGTCTTTGAGTGTCACTACAACTCCTCGGAAGGAAGATGGGGTAATCTACTTCTGTGGTGATACTGCTCAGAAACCCAAGGAAGGGTCGCTATGAGTCGCATCCAACTCGACGGCACATAACAACAACAACAGCAACAATTTATATTGAAAAAACCTAAAGTAAAGATTAAAGAGAAAAACAGGTAGACTCCAGAAAGAGGAATGGCCAGTAAAGTAGGACACTCTCCCAAGTAATTCTGGTTTGCAAGCTAGAATGTATTTTCAAACACACCTTCATGAAATGATACTTAGTTTCATAAATAATATAAATTGTACAACATACACATGAAAGGCCTTGACTAATCATTGAAATTGATGGTAATGCACACCTTGGCTTTAAAATACTTTAAAAAATGCACTGAGATTTATGTATGTGGGGTAAGGGTGATTTGGGGGGGTGGAAAATGGCACAAATCAAAGGTATGTGGGTATGCTTGTGTTTCCTGCAGCTGTTTGGAGAAGTTGATTTACAACATCAGTATATTTTCATACAATATTTCTTCTTTTTTAACACCATAATATCAAAGGAGCCCTGGTAGCTTACTGTTGAAGTGATCAGCTGCTAACCAGAAGGTCAACTGTTTGAGCCCACCCAGCTGCTCCTAGGGAGAATGACTTGGTGATTTACTTCCACAAAGATTACAACCCAGGAAACCCTATGGGGCAGTTCTACTCAGTCCCATGGGGTCACTAGAGTTAGAATCCACTCAACGGCACCCAACAACAGCATATAAATTTAGGCATCTTTATAATAACCAAAAAAAACAAACTCACTGCCATCAAGTCGACTCCAACTCATAGCAACCCCCATTGGGTTTCCTTAGAGGTCCAGGTGGATGAACCTGAGGATAAATAAGCCCATGGAATAAACAGTCCAAAAGTTTTTACTCTGATTGTATTCTTAAAAAGCCCCCTATGTTCCAATTAACATTTTCAGCGGTTGCCTTAATTGTGAAGCCTTCCTGTGCAACTGTGGCATGTTTGATACTGATTCCACCTCATCGGCCTTGAACTGCTCCGTTGGTCTATAGGAGGACCTGACATTTAATGGCTGCCCTGAGACGAATCTCAAAGTCAGCGATTAAACTAGATGCTGTACTGTTTTTCTTTTTCTATTGAAGCAGCATGTCTTTCTGATACAGGTCATTTACTTAACTCTTCAAGAAAATATAAATGTTTGAAATGGGGTTAAACAAAATCATTACGATTCCATTTAATTTGGTATTTCAGCTGACAAAACCTCTTAGTTATATTGGGTCTTCACAGATACTCTGATTAGTTGCAAAGATGGGAATGGCCTGACTGGTGGCAGCCGTTGTCACTGACTTTGGTCCTCTGTAAGCAGAGAGCAATCATTTCAGGACACAACTGCTAGATGCATTTATGGTCTAACTGATGCAACTATGGTCTTCGTTCTGCTAAAGAAGACAGCAGTGAATTCCAAGACTTTGACAAATCTCATCTGAGAATTCTATTGGCCCAAACTCTAATATTTGGGTTGTTTACTTCTGAGAGCATCTTGGTTTGCCATTTGACAAGGCAAAGAATCTGGAGAATGATAATTGTCCTTTAAAGTCTTGAGTGACCTAGAAAGCAGGCAGTGGTGGCAGTGCTATGGGCAGGCTGGCCTTGGCATTAAGGCAGGCAGGGTGGGACAGACAGAGCATTGATGGTTGAACAGGGAGAGAGCAGCTGGCCAGCCAGAATGCCACGGTGCCCCCCAGCAACTCACCACATAACCAGAGGGGTGGCCTTGCCAGCACTTCCCAATGGGACTACAGTGGATCCTACAAGCCTGGCCGCAGCCTGGGTGCTGCCCTTGTCTGCATGCACCAGAGACGAAGGCACACGTGCATCAGAGCTACTGCAGTGCTCCACCAATGTGCAGGAAATGCAACTAACCACACTGGCATAACTCCACTGTGGCGGGAGATAGATTTATTTAGTCACAGAAACATTTCACTTAAGTCCAGGTGTGACTGCCCACATTAGAAAAAGACCAGTGAATTTGATCACAGAAAGTGTACACAGAACCTCACTTCCCTGTTTCTCAATTCCACTCTATCCACAGTTTAGTGATGTATATTTGAAATCAAAGTATACTGGAATCAAGAAAATTCTAAGAAGTGAAGCCCAAATTTCAGTATTGATTTGCAGTGGTTTTGCACTGGTTTTGGTTTGTTTTAGCATCTATCAGACTGTCAGTACATGTAGAAATCAGGAGACAAGGATTTTAGCGCTAATTCTGCCCTTAAGTAGATGGGCTGCCATAGCAAATCACCCCACTTTGCGCTGCAGTTCCCTCACGTGCAAAATTTCACTAGATGAGCTTCTAAGTACATTCTAGTGAAAATCGTCTGTGGTCTTGATGACCCCCGACAACCAACTGCTGAGCACACTGTGGCCAGGTTGAACATTCTGTGTTAAGTACATCTGATAGATCATTTATAGCTACCATTTGTTAAAGCTTTCACAAGAATGCACGTTTTCATGAGATCGTGAGCATCTCAATAAAATGAGACATTAGACATTAGAAATGTCTTTCTTTATGCCTTTGGCTCAATGAATGAGTCTGGCTAGAGCTGGAGTCCCTAAGTGGGTTAAACAGCTAGCATGCTTAGCCACTAAGCCAAAGGTATTAGAGGTTCAAGTCCACCTAAAGGCACCTTGAAAGAAAGGCCTGGCAATCTACTTCTGACAAAGATTGAAACCCTATGGAGCACAGTTCTACTCTGACACACAGGATGGTCACCATAAGTCAGATTCAACTCAACAGCAACTGGTTAGCTATTCGATTTAGCCCCCTAATCGATTTAGCTACATCTTCA